GAACCCGTGGCCTTGGTGTTATCAGCACCACACTCTCCTAAGTGAGCCATGGGCCGGCCCTTCCCACTTCTTTTTATTTATTTTAATTTCAAAGGAAACAAAACCAGAAGCTTTTATAAACTTACTTTGAAATCTGAATGGCATTCACACTCAGTTCTTGTTGCTGTGTCCTAAATAGCAGAGAGGGGAACACAGGACCAGAAGTCTTGGCTTTAGGTCGTTTAGGAGCAGCAAGGCTCCCGGCCTCCAGATTAACTGTGGTCATAGCCCACCTCTCCTGAACAACTGAGTTGACAACCTGAACAGCTAAGACTTAACTAGTAATGGTGGCAGAGATGGATTTCCTGGAAAGTCCGAGAAGCTGGGACCTTTGACAGCTCAAGTGTCATTTTTTTTGAATTCTTAATCTTGAGCTTCAGTTTAATTCAAAGAGCAGGTTAATAAAAGTTTATTTTATTCTGATTAGAACTATTAATATGCTTTGTAATTTTTTTCAGAAGACTAGTAAGAAAAAAATGGGAAATTCAGAAATCACCTAACCACTATTAACATTTTGATATTTTTCCTTCTAGACTTTCTTCCATGCATAGATTTTAGATCATTTACAGTTTGGCCATCTATTTTTTCATATAACATTGTAACTTTGAAATAACTCCATATTATCAATTCTTTGTAAATATAGCTTTAAGATTTCATTGTGTGTCTTTATCAATCTTATCCATTTTTATATTACCGCATGTTTAGATTGTTTTTATTATTTACTGTTAGAAGTAATTCAGTGGCGAATGACTTTGTATATAAGGCTTTTTTGCTCCCCATACTTTGGATTCTTCTGAGATTGATTCCTAGGAATGGAATTACTGGGATGAGTGTGAACATGTTTATACTATGCACTTGCACTGGGTATATATAATCTGTACATGGGGGTTATATCGATTTACATTCCTGCCAGTATCTTTCCTGGCTTCAAGGTGTGTGACTAGTTCTGGAAGAATGAATATTAAGAGTGCTGTTTCACAACAAGCTTGCCAGCATGGGATAGTCTCATTAAAACAATCTTACTTGATAAATGAGAACTTGTTTAATTTGCTTCTTTTGACTATTGGTGGGTTAGAACATTTTTTGTATGTTTGTAACATATATGTGTGTGTGTGTGTGTATATATATATATATATTTGGCAGTTGGCTGGTGCAGGGAAGAATATGTATTTTCTCTAGTGAATTCCTTTTGACTATTGGTGGGTTAGAACATTTTTTGTATGTTTGTAACATATATGTGTGTGTGTGTGTATATATATATATTTGGCAGTTGGCTGGTGCAGGGAAGAATATGTATTTTCTCTAGTGAATTATGTATTAATGAAATAAAGATGTTCTTGACATTTAGCCCCTGGACTTTGCTGAAGTCATAGCCTCTCAAGGTGTCCATTGGACCACTGTGCTGACCACTTCCTTTTCTCCAGCTGACTCTGGGTATAAGCCATTCTAACAGATGAACATTGCTGGTGCTGGATTCCATCTCTGCTTTTTAAATATAGCTCTTCATTTCCTACCTTCCTTAAATGACTTAATTAAAAATTTTTTAAAACCATTATGAAAGGAACATGCTCACTCATCCTAGAACATTTGAAAATACAAAGAAGTGAAGAACAAAATCAACTATATTCTCACCTCACTAAAGACAGTTAGTGTAAACATTTTTCTTCTGGTCTTTTAAAAAAATACTTCTTTTATACAACTGTAGGCTTTTCCCTCTTAACATTAACATCATAACAAACATTATCCTGTGTTATTCCAAAGTCTTCATATTATTTGTGCTTTGGATCCTGAATGTTATCTATGTTAATCTTTTTCTTTTCCTTTTTCCTCCCAAGGTGAGAAAGGAGCCCAGATTTCTTGGTTTGTTTAAGGAGGTATGGAAATCGGCTCATCTCCCCTCCCTCTCTTCTTTTCTAGAGGTCTGAAGACTATGAGGCTGCTCTGTCAGAAAAGGAAGCCCTTTTGGCTGAGCTGCACTCAGAAAACCTCACCAAGAGTTCAGAGAACCACAGACTGCACAGGAACATTAAGAAGGTCACCCAGGAGCTGAGTGACTTGAAGCAGGAGAGGGAGAGACTAGAGAAGGACCTGGAGGAAGCTCATCGAGAGAAGAGGAAAGGAGACTGCACCATTCATGTGAGTGCTGCCTGTCCTCTGATGTAGGGGGCAGCGCATTTGGGCTGGGGCTGTGTGACTGTTTCTGGTTACAGAGTGATAGTCAGTGCAGAGAACTTAGAAAAACCTCAGAAATATAAAGAAGAAAATATTTCACTTATTATCCCTTCTCCTAGAAATGACCATCTTAACTATTTGATGCTTTAGTCCTTTTATTCTCTCTCTCTCTCTCTCTCTCTCTCTCTCTCTCTCACACACACACACACACACACACACACACACACACACACACATTATTGGTATCAAGCTGAAAATAGTTTTGTATTGTTTTTTTAATTCAATGTTCTCTATTTGGTGTGTTGTCATGTCATGAATGTTCTTCAAAAACATGTTTTTTGGGTGCCAGCATAATGTTTCATCACTTGAGTGTGCTAGGATTTATTTAACTAGTCCCTTATTGTAAGGCATTAGATCGTTTCACTTTTTTTGCCTTATAATGAATGCTGCAGCAAACATCCTTATACATAAATATTTGTCTTCTGATTATTTCTGATAAAGGTATAATTACTGGGTCAAAGAGTATGAATATTTTTAAGGCTGTTTTTCGGATATGCTCATATTGTTCTCCTGAAAGATCGTACCAGTTTTCTCTATGTGATCTTTTATCCAGACTGTACTCTATTTAGCATTGGATATTAGCTTTTAAAAATTTTCTTGGAATTTGGTAGGCTTATTAAATTTCAATTATATTTAAACTTAAGTATTCAGCATCTTTTAATTTAATCCCTCCTGAGAGTCACATCCAGATACATAGCCTTGGTGCAGTAAGGTAAGAGAGGGTCTGAACCTGAGCCTGAGCGATCATTGACACTATGGTTAATTGAATTACCTGCCCTGATATTGGCAGGGATGCCAGGATCCATAGGTTGAAATCCCAACATTAACACTGAAGAAGGGATTGAAATACAGTTGTTTGTGTATTTTAATGAAGTTTTTAAGACATTAAGAGAGCAATAATGGAAATTTAGAAACATAAGAAAATGTCAGCTACAGTTCCACCACCCGGACAAAGCCACTCTTTCTGGTTTTCGGTATTTCCCTTTGGTCCTGGTGCATCTGGGCTCCCCGTCTAATCTGAGGCTAAATAAACACTGTTCTGTGTTCTTTGATCACTTGCTCTGTCATAGGTTCCTTCCCATGTTGTGTAGATTCCAAAACGATCATGTTGAATGGTACATACTCTTTCACTGAATAGGTTTCACGTGATTTACTTAGTAATTTCCTCCTTTGTTAGACATTTTAGATGTTTAAATAATGCCACGATGAATATCTTTGGGCACATAAAGGCATTTTCTCTTGAAATCTCTAGGATAAATTCTGAGGAGTGAGATTACTGTGTCAGATAGTACAAATATTTTATACTGGTTAATCGTGCTGCCAAATTATTTGTCCAAAGGGCTGGCCCCAATTTTTGCTGCCACCAGCAACACTGAAGTGTACCAGTTTATTGCATGTTATTAAAATACCTGTTTCCCATATTTATTCAATGTTATTGAACACCAAATATATCTAGTTTAGATGCTGATAGAAATGCAAGGCATGACTTCCGAAGGTTTTATTTTTCTAAGCGAGATGCAAATGTTATACATGACAAAATGCAAAACAGTTTAAAATCCAGAGCCAACAGTTGGTTAGAGCGCAGCCTTATAACACCAAGGTTAAGGATTCGGCTCCACATACCAGCGAGCAGCAAAAACAGAAAACAAAAAAAAATCCAGAGCTAATTAATGTGACATATATACTCAGCATAAAAGATCCTTGTGGGATGGAGTAGTCAGGGAAACCTTATATGAGGAAGTGACACTTGAGTTGAATGAGAAGGATAACATTTGAGTAGCGTGCCTTTAGGGATGAGGCAAAGAAAAGCCTGGTTAGAGGGTCCCTTTTATAAAGTTGCAGTTTTCGTAGTCAATTCACTATTGGTAACAATTTTTTTTTAGTTTAAAATTGCCCCCCATCATAAAAATGTTTATTCAGCAATATTTGGGTGGTACTTCAAAAAGTTTGTGGAAAAATAGAATTAAAAGATAATATAAATCTCTCCATGGACTTTTTGAAGGCCCCTTGTATAATATGTATATATATATATATATTTTACATTATAACTTACTCTTGGTAAGCAATTGAAATGGCTATATAACATTACATCAAGTTGATAGGCTGTAATTTACTTACGTATCCCTCTATTGGTTCCATAATCCCATTATTCATGTAAACCCTGGTACTTCTAAAAGAATTTTGGGCTGCTGTTGATAAAAAGATGTATCCCTACATAATGTATATACATCTTCATAGGGAGGTTAAAATATTTGGCAAGGAATGGAAGGAGAGGGATTGGGGTATTGGAGTAAAGTATACTATAGGTAAGACTTTCTTGTGAGTGGCAGAAACCCAGTTTGAACTAACTTTGGCAAAAAGGGAATTTTATTGCCTTGTGTAACTAAACTGCTGGAAGGATGGACCCTGGAACACCACCAGGACCGACTTCATCTCTCTGAGGGGTGGCTGCTTTTTCTTGCATCTGCTTACTCCAATTCCAAATAGCTGGACCCCTCATGGCCAGCCCTGCTGGGATCACATCTTCCCAGTTTATTGCAGAAGAGGAAGGAGGAC